AGAAAGTTTCGTCCTGTCTTTCCTTATAGCATACGGAATTCCTTTCATATAATTATACTCACGATTTAGCAAAAACGAGAGCCTATTTGCCCCAATAACTTTAAATAAGAGGGCGGTTTTCCAAACCAAATCCCTTCTTATTATTAAATCCACTCAGTTGACCAAAATAACCTGTCCAGACATAGGCTAAATTATCACGTTAAATTTCGTCCTGAAATTTGTTTGCAGGATTCGCAGAACTGTAAATGCTATGGAACTACGCCAGTTTTCCTCAAAAACTCAATCTTGCTCTCCATCCAAGTCCTTTTAATTTGCTGGGTGTGCGCACCTATATTCGGATTTTGGATCTTACCCAGAGTAATTAAACCGTCGATAAGCTGGCCATTGGCCAGATTGTAGTGTTTAACCCGATATTCCTTCACGGTCAGCCAAGTACCTAACAGCGGTACGTTGACAATGCAAAGACCCGTGGACCATCAAAGAATGAGCTGTGGTTCCGATAATTCTGTCCTGGCTGACCATAATTTTCTTCGGTTTGTGCATCTCCGTCTAAGTGACGATCAAGATTATACACACAGTGCTGTTCGAATCTGGCTTCATGAATTCGTATAGTTTTTTTCGGTGTCCAATTCAGTTTTCCTGTCCTTGTAACACAAGCCATTTCGGGGCAGACATTCCGGCAGTACTTGAAACCGTCAACCACAGTTCAATTCTATTCCCAGATCTTATTGTTCGTGAGCATTACCAGTCCATCACACCTACTCAGAGCTGTTTCACCTACTAAAAAAATTTCGGAGGACATATTGTGACACTGGTTTATCGCTATGAATCCCTCCCGTACAGAACTCTCACAAAAACCTTTTTAAGAGAATGCTGAATTAGGGACAAAAATAAAGGTGGAGCTCACCGTAATATTTTATTGGAATTTGTGCCGCCTCTTTTCCTGTTGTAAGCGACTCACTGCTTCGGAGGCCACTGCTCCCATCCATAGTCGTTTCTTCATGCACAACTTATACTGTCTTTCATGTCTCTTCCAGCATTTGCTCTCATGGGCGTAGGTCAAAGCGGCGTACGGATTGCACAATTCGTCACCCAGGCTGCTGTCCGTTGGCCGGAGATCTACAAAACTGGATTCGAATTGCTTTTTTTTGTCTGTCAGACAACCTTCATTCTCGTTTACCACCGAGTAAGTAATGTCGCTGGCTCCTATTCACTCTGTTCATATCACTAAACGGCTTCCCAAACCCAATTATTTATGCTTACCTATCTTCTCCTGTTTGATTGC